AGCGCACGGCTGCGTACACTGGGGGGACTGCGTATTTTGGGCTAGTTATAGGGGCTAGCTACGGCCACTCACGCGCACATCGTTTGATGATGACCCTGGTATTGCGGCCTTCGTCCAAGGGTTCTCCCACAGGGTTACCTTGGACAGGTTCGCCTAAGGGTTGGACTCACGACTAACGCATGGGGTACCGTATCGGCTCGAGGACATTATGACTCCCTTGTGCCTCAAATACTCTTCGGCCAAAGGAGTGGGGGACTGGGGGGACTATATCGGCCACAAGAAAGGAAACAAAAAGGGAGCGCAACGGCCTTAAAGTGCAAAAAGGGTGCGCTACGGCTCACCAATCAGCTGCGATTCACCTCTAAGACATTACGGATCGCATCGGCTAATACAAAATACAGCGCACGGCTGCGTACACTGGGGGGACTGCGTCGGCTCACTAAAAGCAAGAAAACACAAGTCAAGGCGCCTCGGCCACACGACAGATCAAAAGCGTGTGGCTCGCATCGTCGTCGTAGACAAAATCAAACATCTTTGCTCCATAAAACCATGTCACCACAATGGCAAAAAATAAATAGGACCTCTTCGGCCCCAACAAAATGGTAATAACAGGCCAGTCTCCATAATTCACATCTACTGGAAAGAGAGAGCGCACCGCATCGTCCTCGCGACATTTTTCACAAAGAGCGCATCGGCCCGCACCAAAGTTATGAATCCTCAAGCGCGCCCCATCTACAGCAAATGAGGAAACCGCTTCATCTAAAATCAAAGCAGAACCCCTTCGGCCACCAAGCACCTCGAAGCTCACGCAACGGCCGGCCAGAAAGGAACGAGTACTCCCTTTCGCTTCGGCTTCGCCTCAGCTCAGAGAGTGGGGGACTCCTGATAGAGTATATGGGCCTGGACCCCATGACCCACATACTCAAGTAAACGGCGACCAGAAGAACACCCACGTGGCCCTCTTCGGCCAGTGGGTCCGCATCGGCCAGAAACTAAACCGGCCCAGGAATCACGCATGGACTTCCGGGGCCGCATCGGCCATGGGGCCGCATCGGCCATGAGGCACCGCATCGGCCCGACTTCGTCCGGGCAGAATACATCTCTCTACTTTATTTACTAAGTATTGTACACAGCCCATTAGTGGCCCTATTTCGCCCAAAGAAGGCATGATTATTGTAATGGGCCTCCTAAGCCCATGGCTAGGAGCCCAAATCCACATTTTTACCTATAAATAGACCCCTTGGGGCTAGTTATAGGGGTTGAGAAATATAATTACTCACTTTCTCTCTCTAGCTCTCACTTCTCTCTAGAATTAATACTCTATCAGTATGTATAGTTAATTAAAAGAAGCTTTAGGAAGCAATGATACTATAATAGTTAGCAACAATAAAATGCTTACGTAGCTTCCTATTTCAACAAACGGCTGTGGAAGAGTTGGTGTACTTGCTGCGAGACAAAGCACAGGTACTGGGTTCGAATCCTTTGGACCTTGTTCCAGAGTGATTTTTTTATGCTTGTACCGGGGTTTCCAGGTTTGAACTACTCCGGGCCGGTTCCAGGTTTAGGCCGGTTTACCGGTTATTTTCGGTTTTCACCCTACTGACGGGTTAGTACTTAGTAGCTAGCCGGACCGGATTTAGTTCCGGTTCGCCGGGTTCCGGTTTGACCCGGCCGGTCCGGTCCGGTTCTTCAAACATTGCTTTCCTTCCCTTTTTTCACTCTGCTCAGACATTCTCTAATTGCTTAAATATCTGCAATCAATATTCCATGTAGTTATTTACTCAATTGGGTTCCAGGGATATTCAACTCTCGGGTCTTCATGAAATATTGCAGATATGTTCCTTGCTCTTGATAAAGATATGAATGGAACATTGAGCAAGCAAGAACTCCGAGAATATGCAGAAGGGACACTGACAGATATTTTCATTGAGAGAGGTAAAAACAGATTAGTGTCTAAACCTTTTAACAATTATGCACAGAAATGTCTGCAAATTCAAAGGGTGTTAGGAATTAGCTCATTTTTGATTGTGTGATTATATATATGTATGTGTGTATATTAGTATATATTGTACACAAACACACATCCTAGTGGTTTGGCTAGGGCCTCAGAAATTGTTGGATTATTGGTGGGGCAGAAAATTAATTAACTCACTAAAGTTATATAGTTAACATTTAAATATTTATGTTGGCAGTATACTTGAAGAATTTACTAGATATACATGATATTCATTTAGCTTTGGTATCTTGTGGTTTTATTCTTTTTAATTTTGTTTTTTTTGGCATTAGTTTTTGATGAGCATGTCCGGCGTGGGAAAACTGGAGGCATTAATGGCCGTGAGATGGATTTTGAAAGCTTTCTCGACTTCGTTTTAGCCCTTGAAAACAAAGACACTCCTGAGGGTTTGACATACCTGTTCCGGTGTCTTGATCTGCACGGGAAGGGTTATCTAATGACTACTGATATTCACACTCTCTTCAGGTCAGAATGCTAAAAACAGAGTTATTTCAGGTTTTGCGCTTTCATACAGAATAATGCTTGTGCTTGCTGTATTGGAAATGGTTGCTGGTTGCTCTTCATTTTCTTGATTGGCATTAATGCATTACCACGTATATACAAAACACAAAACAAGCAAGAACCTATTGGAAGTAAAGAAGGGGAGTTTTGAGAAGTTAAGATGCTCCCTGATTATTCTTCCTAAAGCAAATCTTCTGGGATTTCCTGCTTGTAGTTCCTGAGCTTTTTCAACGAGCCTCAAGTCACCAGATACATGTGCACCAAGTGGCACCATACTCAGATTTTTTCTCTAAAAGTTGTGTTTCAAGGCTTTGTTTTGCCTTTTTCATGTGTACTAGTACGTATTGATCATCCACTCCCTCCTCTGTCCGTAAATAGTCTGTCTTCATTGTTTCGTAGAGAAAATAGCAACTGTGAAAGTCTAAGAAATCTGATCTCTGTAAACTTCATGGAAGTCAAACTAAGAAATGTTTTAAGGGAAGGAGGTAGTATTAATGTCATTTTAATCTGATCTCTGTAAACTTCATGGAAGTCAAACTAAGAAATGTTTTAAGGGAAGGAGGTAGTATTAATGTCATTTTATGAGTCTGTAGATACCATATGGGCCATAACACTAAATCTTGTATCTTTTTTCACAACAGAGATGTTCATCAAAAGTGGATTGAAGGAGGGAATTATGAACTTTGCATTGAAGATGTGAGAGATGAAATATGGGACATGGTGAAGCCTGCTGATCCTTTGAAGATAACTCTGGCTGATTTGCTGGGATGTAAGCAAGGCGGGACTGTGGCCAGCATGCTCGTTGATGTCCGTGGTTTCTGGGCCCACGACAACAGAGAGAACCTTCTCCAGGAAGAGGAACCAGTGGAAGAAGGGTAGCATTATTGAAAAAGAATCGTTTGTTTTGCCAGAAGTTGGATTACGATGTTACCTCTTAAAGCATTAGATTGTATGGAAAATACGTCTTTAGTCCTTAGGCTGCTTGGTAACTGTCTTTCTCGTCCTTAGTTTGTTGCACTTGCACAAATATGTATGTAGTAGTATTTCTGCTCACACTATGAAACGATCATCTGGAAACTATACATTTTTAAAAACGATGACTAATTGTTACTAATTAAATTATTAATTATATTTGAAATGTTAAATCTAATTTCATTAAATAGTACAAAAGAGTTTTTACCTTTGTCATATCGCTGTGGTCATTTTGTTGGATATTGTTCATTTATTTGTTAAAGTATCAAATGGAGAGCCATTTTATTTGTTAAAATCAAAGAGTTTTTTTATTTTATAGGGAGTACTCCATCTTCCCTACATTTGCTTTTGGCACAATATTTTAGGATAGAATAGTAAGTGTAGAAAAAGTAGATAAAGTAAGGGTAGTTGAGTACGGAGTATTTTATAAAGGATAAATTTATCAAAAATGGAAATGTAGGGAACCTTTAAAAATATCCCAAAAAAGAAAATGTAGGGAACTTTTAAATATGGATAAAGAACTTTTAAATGGAGGGAGTATGTTCTTTAAATGGATAAAGAACATAACAAAACAAATGAGATAAAAACATTTTTGTTATCATAAATGAGATAAAAACATACTACCTCCGTCCCATATTTATCTTCATAGTTCGGTTTACGATGCTTGACTGACGATAAAGCAACTCGATCCCTGTTCATACTCGGATTATTTTTAGTATATAAAATTTACATATTCAGAAACTACATTAAAACCGCTACAAAGCCTGATCAAGAAAATTTAAGTTTGATAAAAATTTGATATATAAAGTAAAAGATTAAGAGTAATTTGAGTTGACCATGTGAATAGTAACTATGAAGATAATTTTGGGACGGAGGGAGTAAAAAGGATAAAAAAAGATGAAGAGTTAATTCTTCTGCCCTCCATATGAATATTCTCTTTCCACGTTATTATATGAAAACTCAAGAAGAAGCGTATTAATCTTGATTACTCTGATTCATGTTTGTTTGATTTTCCTCTCATCCTCCTTCCCGTCTCTTCTCTTCACCTTTCAACTCGTTTAAGAGGTGCATCACTTGGTCTTTTACACACAAGATCAAATAATTGACTCGTGTCTGATCTTCAATAGGTGTTACTATAATCTTTTTTCTGATTGTTTCACTCCTCAAACATTCTGCTTTGGTATATCGTTTATGACGCATCTTAGTCACCTTTTCTTTTGACATCGTTTCACCATCCAACACTTTAATAAGACTTCCTCCGTAACTTAAAAACCTTCTCATTTCAAAAGTAGCTAGATTAAGAAAAGTGAAAGAGGACAAGAATTATTGAAGGTATGATGGGAAGATAATAAAATAATGTAACGAAAAGAAGGATAAATCCAAAAAATAGTTGTAATAGTGTATTATTTTCATAAATATTGAGGGTGTGATGAAAAATTTAAAAAGAGGAAAGAATAGTGATAAATATCTTTCCTCTTTCAGTCTAGTCAATATCTCAATCACACAGAAAACCTAGATTTCCATTTCATCCACATAGTTCATTATCCTTTTGAATTATGAAGCCAAGTAATTTGACAGTTTTGCATTACAAAAAACATTTCAGAAACAGTGCCGTCCATTTCCCTTCAGTTTCCCCGTCATAACGGGTGAGCTGAACATGGCGGCTGCATCCGTCCCTGCTACTCTTCTGTCCTACTTCCCCCACCGATGCGAAGCTGAACCTCCTAACCGAAGCAGGCGTAAACCTAAACGACTGCTAACGAACATCCAAAGACGAAAAGACAACCACCCAAAGCTCAAGTCCGGTGAATTCCTGCCGCCAATACCGCTCTCCTTCTCCGCTGGTGACACAGCTACGACCTACACTCAACTGCCTCCGAAAGATGACTTTTTGGTCACGAATCTCCATAATTTGGAGGAAATTAAGCTCAACGAGTTCATCACTCCTTTCAAAAAGGAAGAACTCCATTCTGAGATGGAGTCACACGATGATGAATTATCAGATATTCAGAAAAGTGAGGAGAACTTAGGATTTGATTATGGTAGATTTGAGCTGTATGAAGCTGATTCTGAAAATGATGTTGATGAAAAAGACTATGAGGATGATGTTGATGACGCTGTGGATACCATTTTTGAAGGAGAGGGGACTGAAATGAAGGAGAAAGAAAAAGGAGTACCTGCCGTGATGAGGTGTTTTGATAGGGCGAAGATATACGTGAAAGCAGGGAATGGAGGAAATGGTGTGGTGGCATTTCGCAGAGAGAAGTTTGTGCCATTGGGAGGGCCGGCAGGTGGGGATGGAGGGAGGGGAGGAAATGTGTATGTGGAGGTAGATGGTTCAATGAATTCGCTGCTGCCTTTTAGGCAGAGAGTACATTTTAGAGCTGGGAGGGGAGGCCATGGCCAGGGAAGGAAGCAGTTCGGTGCCAAGGGTGAGGATGTGGTGGTGAAAGTACCACCAGGGACGGTTGTTAGGGATGCAGGTAATGGTGAGGAGCAAGGAAATGTGCTTCTTGAGTTGCTGCATCCAGGTCAGAAGGCGTTGTTGCTGCCAGGAGGGAGAGGTGGGAGAGGGAATGCATCTTTTAAAACAGGGACGAATAAGGTGCCCAGGATAGCAGAGAATGGAGAAGAAGGTCAAGATATGTGAGCATCTTTCTCTATCCTTGTCTTGTACTGGGCATGAATAATTAGAAGAACGCTAAGGTTTTGAACAACTGCTAAGAATACCTTGCTCTTACCTGTGATTGTTGCTTTTATTGTCTTACTGCTAATATATGGATGATACTTAAGTAAAATCGTCTAGAACTTTTTACTTACTGTCCTAAATAATTCTACTGTATACACAATGCTAATAATTTATCATTCCCATTCATGGTTCTTGGTGCATGTGTTTTTCGGTACATAAAAGTAATGGTCTCTTTGACCAGGTGGTTGGAATTGGAGCTTAAGTTGGTTGCAGATGTTGGAATAATTGGAGCTCCCAATGCAGGGAAAAGTACGTTTCTCAGTGTCATTAGTGCTGCTCAGCCTACTATTGCAAATTACCCATTCACCACTTTGCTCCCGAATCTGGGAGTGGTTTCATTTGATTATGATTCTACAATGGTTGTAGCCGATTTGCCTGGTTTACTTGAAGGGGCACATCGAGGTTTTGGTTTGGGTCACGAATTTCTTAGGCACTCTGAAAGATGTTCTGTTCTGGTATAGTTTTGGAGTTTGGACATTATAGTTTGTCTTTTGGTGAATTAACTTTATCCTTCATCTGCTGTTATCAAAATAACAAACATTTAAGTGTCATGTAATTGGGGTATTTACAATCAGCAACCATAGTATGCTATACTCTGATGATTGGATTACTGGATGCACTTGTTTTGTCTTTTCTGCCCCTTAGGCATAATATGCTACAACTGTCCCGCATGGCCTCTGTTACTGCACTTTCAATTTAATCTATTCATATTACCACACTGTTAAGTGTTAACCCTTCAGTTCCATGAAATTTGCTAATGCGTTTCTAGCTATGCTTTCTTACTTAACTGAATTTACACTTAAGAGTTTACTTCTTTAACTGACTAGGAAACTTTTCTTTTTGGGGGATAGGTGCATGTTGTTGATGGGTCATCTCAGCAGCCAGAATATGAGTTCGACGCAGTACGCCTTGAGCTGGAGATGTTTAGCCCTGAACTTGCTCAGAAGCCTTGTGTAGTCGTTTACAACAAAATGGATCTTCCAGAAGCATCTGAAAATTGGCAATCCTTCAGGGACAGCGTGAAGAGCCGCGGCATTGAACCTTTTTCCATGAGTGCGGTGAAGAAAGAGGGTACACATGAAGTGATATGTGCTGCATATGAGCTTGTTCTTAGGAGAAAGACAGCTGATATAGAAGGTAAGTTCATGGTTGGAATTGTAATTACTCCTATACTCGTATGTTTATAACTTAATCTACAAATTTACTGTTCATTTGATTGAATGAGGTCTTTGGCATGATAGTTTCACTTGCCAGTCTCATGATATCAACTCTTTATGAAGAATTTCATTATATTTGTAAGTTGAGGACCCGATTGGCAACAATTAAAATAGAAGTAATTGAGTGACCAATGGTGTAATTTTTTCTTTCTACCATCATTTGCCTTGTATCCACCATCTTAGCACTCCGTCGTTATAAAATTATGTGTGTATGTGTGCACATATCTGATTTTATTTACTTTATAACAGAAAGAAGAGAAGATACAACATGATTTTTGCGTTATTTCATATTAGAATTTTTCTTCATAACTCAATATCAATTCATGTTAGGTTCATTTCACCATGTTGGTTTCACAAACGTTTTATATGTTTCAGAGGCAGAAGGTCCTGAAAATTTGAACTATGTGGCTGATTTATTGAAAAAGCAGAAAAATGCTCCAATAAGTGAATTTGAGATATCACATGATGGTGCTTTCAATACATGGCATGTTGTTGGATCAGGCCTGCAGCGTTTTGTCCAAATGACAAACTGGAGGTGAGAAAGTTGCTATTTCTTTAATCTTATTTTTATTAATCTTATTTGAATACCCCTATTTTATGCACTCCTTTTCAACATGTGAACTGGTACGGCCATTTATAATTGTATACACGCACATTTATGCTACAGGCATTTCTTGGGGATATCTTGACAGCTTATTTGTTCAAGTATGATCATATCATTGAATTTTGGTTGCTTAGTTTACTTTTTTTTGAACAGTTATATCGATTCTGAGAGAAGATTTCAACATGTTCTGGAGGCTTGTGGTGTGAATAAATCTCTCATTAAACTTGGGGTAAAGGAGGGTGACACTGTTGTTGTTGGAGATGTAAGAATATTATATGTTGCTCTATTCATTCGTGTTGTTTTACTTCTTTCCTAGAGTCTTGCATGCTTTTCATCCATAACATAGACTACCACGTAACTAAAATAAAGGACGAGAGCTGAAAAACAAAAGGAATATTGAGTAGTACTGTTTTAAAGTCCCTTACAATACGACTAGGGTTTTCATTCTTTCAGTGAGTCTGGTGGCATGACCCTGCCATTAAAACAACTCTCCTCTTGGTGGACTCAAATAGTCAAATGCCCTAATGTTATTTAACTTATTTTTGCTGTCAATTTTACGTCATAGGCTCATAGCCCCCACACCTAGAGGCAGCTAAGAAATATTGGGATGGGCCGAATAAAAGCAGTCATCTATAAAATATTTACACATTTTTTACCAATTAAATAAAAGTTTTTTTTTACAGAACCTAGGGTAGGCCCAGGGCTGGCATGCCCCTCCTACATATGCCCCTGAAACTGCCATCCCTTGGCATGAGAATCTCGCCATGATAGTGATTTGACCTGGAACTGAGCCAGAATCAGACTAGGTATGCCAATTCCGGTTTAACTGAAACCGGAACCGAACCAAGTCTAGTCCTGTTTCCACATAATAAATATCTTGGTGTTCATTCATTCAGCAATGTGATGGTGTATCATTACTATGTATCTAAATAAATTGCATGTGAAGTGTTTAATAAACTGTGGCTAATGGACTTAAACACTTTACACTAACAAACTGTTGCTTTCATGCAAGAATTAGTTTCATGTGTTTTATTACTGTTAGATGGAGATGGTGTGGAATGATGGCCCAAGCAGATCAGGTCCTTCAAGTAAGAAGTGGGCAAACGAACGAATTCAATGATCTCAACAGACACACTTCATTTCCCCAACATTCACAGACACAAAAAATCGCCTAGGTGGGCAAATAACTAAACAAGTCATGTGAGTGTACTATGTCTATGACCAAAATGTTGTTTGTTACTACTACTCGGCTCCGTTCGGTGGATATCGGACTACTGTCGCAAATGTTGTATTATTTAGAATTTGTTATGTTTGTATGTAATCCGTGATCTGATTAATATTGTTGGAGTTTTACATTATACTTCATGTTGTTACATAATTGCAACTTTTTTCTTTTTTTGTAAGTTCCATAATAATTGCAACACTACCTTTTCTAGTTTCTAGTAGTAAGAAATAACCACGTGTATACCACACTAGAGTCCAATAAAATAAGAGGAATGCTTGGTGTAACGGACAATTTTGCACATAATGTCTGAGTAGATATAATGTGTGTGAATGGTGTACACTAAACATTTTTCATAAAATAATGCTAACCCATTTGCACCCCGAAATTCCTAGCCCAACCCTTTCCCTCATCTGCCCATCCCTTCATTTTCCCCTTTCTTCCCTTTCCATCCCCGGCCTTTTTGTCGTCAGGCACATTCCTTTCTCTTCTCGCCTCATTGGAGTCATTGGCTGTTCTTTATTCTTTCCTACTCTCTTTTGATCACGTTTGCTTTTCCTTCATTTGAAGTTTCAGCAAGAAGTTCCAAATGGGGATAACACAAATTAAATTTACTTGCTCTAGCTATTTCGAAATGGAATTAAATATCGCACAAAGAAACTAAATAATGTTTTTAGATCAACAATAATCATTGCTACATAGAACTATAGAAGAAGGAAAAATGTATATGAGAGAAGCTAAATCAGGGATGGACCCGGGCCGGGCCGGTTCCGGTTCCGGGCCGGGCCCGGGCGGGCTTTTTTTCGGGTTACATGGGCCCGGAACCGGCCCGGGTTGATACCGGGTCCGGGCCTAACCGGGCCGGGCCGGGCCGGGCCCGGTTCAATGTTTTTTTTTTTTTTTTTTTTTTTTGACTTTCTTGTTATCTCCCTACCCCCCCCCCCCTCACCCCCACGCCCCAAACCTCCCTAAAACACCCAGCCCTACCCTAGGAAAAGAAAAAAAATTGAAAAAACCAAAAAAAAAAAAAAAAAATGAACCGGGCCCGGCCCGAACCGCCCGGGCCGGTTCAACAAAAACAGGGCCCGGAACCGGCCCGCCCGACCCGCCAAAACGGGCTAAAAGCCCGGAACCGGCCAACCGGGCCCGGTCCGGTTCGGGCCCGCACAGTAGCGGGCCGGTCTGGTTCCGGGCCGGTTCGGCCCGGCCCAGTCCATCCCTAGCTAAATGATGTTACGCCTGCAAAGGGTGAATTACATAAAAAAGTTACTTTATGGCTCTTTCTTATTTTGTGCGCCATGATGTTATGTTGCATCTAAAAAACTATACAACTATATTGTTCGGTTGGATGTAATCTTATATACAGGTTGTGTTTTATTCTAGCCCACTCAAAATTTCAATGGGGAATTTGACTTTGCATCCCACATTTTGAATGATATTGGACTTTACACCCCATTTTAAGAAAATTTTGATTTTGCACCCCATTTCACTTCAAAATCCTTTGACTTTGCACCCCATTTTGAAATTTTCTTTCACAAATGTTATATGATAGGGTGCAAAGTCAAATGTTTTTTAAAATGGGGTGCAAAGTCCAATATCACCCAAAAGTGGGGTACAAAGTCAAATTCTCCCAAAAAGTGGGGTCCAATATAGCTTGTAAGTTTGTAACCTTGATCTAGAGTTATTTGAACTAAGACATAAGTGACATGTCTACAATAAACAGTACACATATTTGTTTACCAACGAAAGTTTTATTGATTATACATAATTACGCATAAATATGATTATAAAAATTACAAATCTCAATAAATTTCATTATTTTTACAGTTAAATACTCCCTCTGTCCCCTTTTAAATGTCCCGTTTTACCATATTGGGATGTCCCTATTTAATTGTCTCATACCTTATTTGGTAAATTTTGTGTGGCTCAAAATCATTCTTACTTTATTCTTACTTTATCAATTAATATCAATCACACAAACTCACTTTTCTTAAAACCCGTGTCACCATCTCCCGTCCCATTTAAAAGGGGACGGAGGGAGTATGTGCTTAGAAACAAACATGTAACCTTAGTAAGTTAGTATGGTTAAACAATTTATAAAATAAGCCATTGTACTACAATAGAAAAGCCGATCAAACTCTCATATCGAATAGTCACCCAATGAAACCCATCAATTTATAAAAATGCTCAAAATGGCGTTAGTTCCCCTTGAGTTAAAGTGCTTGCGTGACACATAATATGAGTTATGACCACTTTATGTGCTAAGTCAGTGATGAATTGTTTTCTTTTCTTTTATCCTTTCTCTCTCGGTCTCCCTTATCATCTCCTCCTCACCTCTTCAGCCAATCTCTCACCTTACCATTGCAATCAATCCCCCAAGAATTAACCTCATGTATGAAATTAATATGTAGACCTACTTGTGTGCGGCGAATTTTTGGAACCAAATGGTAACTAACGGGTTGTCAGTGTCACCGACAAGTGAATGGAATCCGAACAACATCATCAGAGGTGATTCGCCACGAACGGGAGAAGGACTTGGGCATCGTTAGAGGTGATACCACCATCACTTAATGAGCCGTGGTGGGAATCTGTGTCAAAATCTTCCATTCGATATCAATGAACTGGTCGGTTATGAGAACATAGCCGACTCTGACGTGGGATTGGTAGGAAGACCACATACCCGAGGCAACATATTCTCCTCGGCATACCTCCAATTCACCATTTAAGCATAATCTTTCTCTCCTTCACTAAGTTGCCCCAGAGTCTCCTTGAACGGCGTTGAAGCTGACCATATGGAGTTGGGTTTAAAATTGAGGTTCCAGTCACGGTCATTGCAGTTGTAGCTATTGCGTCCGCTCTGATGCGTATTGTGATCAACACAGTGTGAATTAATTTTACATTCAAACGAAATATGAAAATAAATAAATTAGTATTGCAGTCTTGATGCGGCCTGGACATGGTTACGTTGCAGTTTTGACCTTGAATTCCAAAAATGCTGCCATTGCAGCCCGACACACTTGCGGCAGTGCCCACAGCTGCAATATTGCGGCCGCATCAGGCTTTGGGGTCTGCATTTTAAATCCATGTATCAAACCGTGGTTGGAGACTCTAGAGTCTAGATGAAGGCAATGAACCTTGGATACTGAACTATGTAGAGTGGGTAGTCATGCATTATGGTCATCCTTGCCTCCTTGGAGGTAACGGTCCAATTCAAACGTGATGAAAGAAGTGGTGGCAGTATGGCAGTGGCAGTATTGTTTAGTACAAGGGTTTGATTGACTTTTTTTGTTATTTGATAGACTTCCCTTAAAAATGGCATAACTTTAACCTGTCTTTGAATTTGTAGTACAAAATGACCGTCTGTAAATGCTCTATTTCAGGAAAGAAAAGTCATGTTCCTAAGTGAGACTAAAAGCTGTAAGATTTGTTATACCTTCATTCAGAAATCAACATTAATACCTAGTGAAACCAAAAACTGTAAGTAGGCTTGGACCCGGTTCGGGCCAGCCGGCCCGGGAACCGGCCCGGCCCGGCACTGTTTGGGCCCGGCCCGGGAACCGGGTACCGGGTCTATGCCCAGTTTGAAGGGGAAACCGGGGGCGGGTACGGGCTTAGGGAATTGAGAACCGCCTGACCGGTTCCGGGCCCGGTTCGGGCCTTTTCAATTTTTTGTTTTTGTTTTTTTTGGGTTTGGGGCTTTGGGCTGGGTTTAAATGGGCTGCAATGGGTGTTTCAGATGGGTTTGTGGGATGGGGGGGGGGAGTGGGGGGGGTAGGGGATAAAATAATCAAGAAAACAAAAAAATAGAACCGGACCCGACCCGGCCCGGGCCCGGACCGGCACCGGTCAACTACCGGGCCGGTCCCGGTTCTCACATAATTTTTTTTGGGCCTGGCCGGGCCTAGGCCCGACCCAGAATCGGGCCCAGTTCAGTCCATGACTAATAAGATTTTGTATACCTTAATCCAGAAATCAGAATATATCCTACATAATGTCTAAATTTGTAATACTGAAATACTGATACAATTATGATTTCTTATATGACCGATGGAGTACCTTATACGCAATATAATACTCCGTAGACTACTTCCCAAAATATTCTCGAATTACCTTATTTAATTATTATCTAATTAAGTGTGCCACTTTTCAATGAGGAGCTTAAACCGGGATGGAAATAGTATGAATGATATAATATACTCAAACAGTACATACCTAGCAAGGAAAGAGCAGTAAAATCATTATAATGCAGATACATCAGAACTCAGGTGTAACAGCATTCCAACTGCGGTAAGCACAAACTTGTCCGGCTTCTGGGAGAAAATCTCATCATAATGCATCTTAACATAAATTTTAGCAATCCATGGAAAAAGAAAGTCAATCCTATGACGGGTATATGAAACTAAGAATCCTGTATAACTGATGGAATTCAGGACTGAATTGGAGTTGCTCCAGCGGCTGTAAAGCACTTGAGTTGAGACAAACCACATTAAATGTTTGAATTCAATCATATTACTTAGTTCAGTCCAAGGTCTTATTATTAAACCATAATTTTCTCTTTAATTTTCTAATGTGAGACTCCGGAGATGATCAACAAATATAAAGCAAATGAAGCAGAAGGCACTATAATAAATACCCCAATCACATTCCAATGACACATGTTGTCCTCCAAAAAGCAATCTCAAATGCTTTTACACTGTAGACTAAATCAAACAAATTTCGAAGGTAATAGGGATAAGGCAACTTGTTGTGGACTCTGATATACCTCTAACAATTCAGGAGCATGTTCTCCATGACATTTCACAAACTTCTTTAGAAACATATTTTCAGTAGCAGTTAGAATGCAAAGTAACACATTGCAGTCCTCCTTGACCAGACCCTTAGCCAACAGAGCTCGGTATACTAAGCATCTAGGGATAGTCCTCCTCTCCAGGCTAAAAGAGGTAAGTTGAGGCCTTCTTACAAGAATTGAAGATTTCAACCCCATCTGATTGACAAGAAAATCAAGAAGCTTCACAAGCTTCTCCTGAGACACCATCATTAACCAAGGGTACTTCTTAAAAGCCTCCAGAACCTCATTCTCAGAAATACCCGAGTTCTTATAGATCATCATCTTCTTTTCCCAAATCAATTTACATATCCTCATTGCCTTTATTACAATAACAAAACTTACATGTTTTGTGTCAACCCCTAAGTCTCTCACTTTCTCCACAATGTCCCTAAACTTATCTTTGTCAAACAGGAAAACTTTAGGCTGGTATTTGAACAGATAAACTATATTCGATTCGGGGACTCCGATTTCTCTCAGAAGTTGTATATTAGGTCCACAATTACGTTTGAGGTCTCTAGTAAGAAGCCCAGTGCAACTCTTCAAGGCAGTCATAAGTGCTTCTTCTACTGGAATGAGAGTCCTGAGGAAATTCAAGGATGGAACAATACTGTTTTCCAAACTGTACTTGAAAAGTGAAGGAGATCCGCTTAGTATAGACGCTACCCTGTCCTGTGAGAAACCCATGGAGAGGCAAAATTCAATCTTGGGAAAAAGGGTCTTTTCGGGGTCAGATACAAGGAGAGTTGGTAGCTTGATTACTGCTTTTAAGATCTGGTCGTCTGTGAAGCCATGATTTTTCAAGAACGTCAACACAGAGTCAGGTTTCTCAGGGGTCTTGAAATTCATATGCTTGGAAGCTGAGATAGCTCTTTCTGACGACAGCCCAAATTTACTGATGAGATAAGAAGCGACGAATGAGATCTTTTCTGCATTGTCTGGAATGGATTTTAGGGTTCTTGATGATGATGATGATGATGAGATGGAAGTGGAGTGAAAATGGAATGCAGTTCGGGCACTGGATTCCCTTAAATGATGATGAACAATTCTTAACATCATTGTCAACATTTAGTGCTAGAGAACTGACCTATGTGCATCCTCTCTTTCAAGTTTCAATCCCTGGCGCTCTTACACCATTTGTAGTGCTGGAGATTTTGGACTCCTAAAATCTCTCAATCTCCGGCACTCTTACACCATTAGTGTAATGAGTAGTGGACTAATGGTCGATTAGTGGGGTGTTTGTATGAAAATGCAGATGTGATTTGATGCTCTAATTTACTCATAGAATCAGTTTTTTAAAAGTGGGGAGAGACCAATTCAAAACACTGATCCTGATTCCGATTCTGCTTTAAAAAGGAAGCAGAAGCATAATCAGTCCCAAACACCCAAAATGAGGGGTTAAAAGTGAGAAAGTGGATAAAAGGGGTTAAAATTAAAAAGTGGATGGTAGGTTGGTATAGGAAAGAAAATGAAGAGGAAGAAGAAGAAAAAGAGTCATGCTTCGTGTACACACCGGATTACATGATTGTCAAATTATGTGTGTACACACAATTTGACTAGCGTTTTATGAAAAAATCGATTTCCACACAGATAAATATAAAAGGTTGTCTATATCACAAACATTATAGGCGAGAATTTTTCATAACATGTTTGTAATACAGACAATTTTAAACGAGAATTTTAAAATGTATGTTATACAGACAAAATTTTTATTTGTCTGTGAAAATCGATTTTTTTCATAAACCGTCAGTAAAATTGTCTGTACATACAAAATTTGATCGGCGTGTAAAAAGTGGCGTGTACAAATGGAATTTTCTAAAGAAAAAAGCAAGGGGTGGCCGGGACGGCTGGGTTGGTATTGGTGTGGATGACGTCAGACTGGCATCATCCCTGCGTCGTAATGTCTCAATTGTTTTAATTCTCTATAATTCTTTAATTTATTTTCCAAAATTTTCAAACGATATGTTAAATTTCATAAACTTTTATGATATTTCATATGCATCAATGTTACATATAAAAAACATAAAAAATATATGAAGTTTTAACTATTGGAGTCTTCTTGGGCCCAAAAAACAAGAAACACAAATTTTAAATTTGTGAAGCATCCCAAAATAACTTAATATGACATGAACTAGTTTTTTTTAATAAAAATTAAAATAGTAAAACAAAATAACAAATTTTTATCATTTTTTGAGACACACATATAACAATAATTTTTGGAGATTGTAGCAATAAATTACTTGAACTCAATTCATTTTTAATTTTCAAGATACATATATAACAATCACTTGAAATTTGAATTTTTTGTTAACCCAAAAAGTTAACCAAAATAGTTAAAAAAATTAATGAAATTTGATTTTTAACATCAAAATGTGTATTTTTTTACATCAAAATGTGTATTTTGATGTAAAGCAATATTAATGGAGTCAATGAAGACTTTTTAAAGTTATACACTTACTGGATTTCCAAAACAAATACGTAGGAGGTAGAGAGCTCCTAGGGCAGAGCCGCTGCTAGGTAATTTCCGATTTCGATCTTTCTTGATCGAAGTTCGGTCAATGTTTCCTTAGTGAGATCTCTCGTGTAAGGTTTTTACTTCGCCGCCCTGGTGCGGCGTTTCTTTCAATCGACGCTGCACTGCGCCGGATTGCCATGGTTTGGACGTAACTCGGGATGGATGATCGTGACAGTGAAAAGATGATGGAAGAAGAGAGAGAGACGTAGGGATGATCGAGACATGATTAGCGTGAAGAGGCTGATCGCTCCAAGCTGAAATCGAGTACCTTGCAGCCTTTTGCTTTGGCTAAAAACTGAAATCCATCCTATTTTAAGCCACAAAACACGGATGAAAATGCCGCCACAAAACAAATCCTAGCACTAACAGCTAAAAGCTGCAAAAGGCTTTGTGGACAGCTTTTTTAAAAAAAAGTTATCCAAAACCAAAACTTCTAAAAGCTACAAATCCTTCCTTTAAAAAAAGTTATGCCACCAAATAAAAAAAGTTGTTTTAATAAATAAAAAGGAAGGAATTGATCTATACATGACTTTTAAAAGCAAAACTTCTTTAGCTTTCTTTTTGGTAGAAACATAGGAGCATTAGCTCCTACCTATCATTAATGATCAAAGGAGGCTGGGAAATCCAAAACAAGTCATGCGGAATGTGTAGTGATATCTCGAATTAACATTATAAACAGAATGAACGTCAATAGGTAATCTATGGCCCGGACTAGCTAAGTCCGTTGCCCGGTTACCCACCCGGTAAACATGCTCAACTCTGACTGCCCAATTTTGATATAAAAGCTCGTGAAACTGTGCAACCTCAGAAAAATGATTGTGAGCACGCTCACCTTCTTTACACTTTGTGCCAAAAAATGTATAAATATGTGTTTACGTTTAGCTCAAGGGTATATTTATTTCTTCTTCATTTTATTGTATTTTTTGTAGTATGTTTTCGTCCTTTTATGTATGTTTGATATTTTATAGTTTTTTGTATCTTTTTTCAAACTACATATTTTTTATTTATTTAAAATCTAATCAGATGACGAGCCAAATCGAAATTAATCGAACTAATCAAATAGTGATTAGTCATGTATTTGATTTTAGGTGATAGTTTTACCGAATAAACTTGTCTCACTCTTACCTGTGACTAAAATTTGGAGTACTATGTAATAATGTACAGAAGTTTCTTGGTTCTTCCACACCTCACTTTCTTCGATCATTTACGTTTTTGAACTTTCTTGTACTTGATAGAGTTGAAGAATTTTAATTATATAATTTGATGAAAGTTTGTGTAACTTGTATCGCTTTTAGATATGAATAATAAAATAAATATCGGTTGTCATTGACTTCGTCATTCAAGCGATAAATATGACAAAGAATCAAGCAACTATTGGTGGGAGTTTGTTTGGTAATTAAACAAACAAATATGATAGGGTAGAGGCATATAAAAGATAATTAAGTTTTGCATACTAACACCAAAGGATGAAATAGCTATGTAGAAAAGTATATGCAACTGAAGATTAAGGCAATCAAATTCTTTTGCCATTGGGGTTTTGCCTTCAAGTGTGAATACAAGCAGAGTATGCCATGTTTTCATATATACTAGAGCATCAGAATTCAGTGCAACAAGATTCTAAATATATTGAAAGTATTAGGTGTTGATTAAATTAGGATAGTGTTATTTTTAAGCGTTGTGTCTTATACTAGGAGAAATATTAAAATGCAAAAAATTTATTTCCCTGTGGTAACACATCTAGATTGGGGTTAAACAACATGGATGAGATCGCATAAAAGGACTACTTACTTTTAGTAGGTTTTTTATTATTATTTAATCACATCAACAAAAGATTGCATAAATAATATATGGGTCTAGGGATCACACATTACATACTTATGACATGGCTTACAAATGTAAATAAAGTCACCCATTTGATAAGAGATATTGGATGAACATCGATTGAACAATTTTTGACTTCTCAAAATTCTCAAAATGTGAGTTTAACATGGGAAGGTAATGGATTTAACCATTTAACACGACAAACATTCTTCATAACACATGACCACTTACGGAGATCAATTATAATGTGTCATCAGGAATGTGTAAATCCCGACATAGTCATGCCAAACTTACTAATACCATACCCTCTTTCTCCTTGGAATACCACTGGTATACATTAGCATGATGATCAAGTTAGGCAATAAGGGGTATGCAGCTTATGATGGTTGAAAAATGTTCAAGGTTGTCTAATGAATTTGGAGGCTTCGGTTCCAAATGACGAATTGAGGCCCCGTATATCAAGAAGGAATACAAAATTTAACAATGAAATATAAATAGACTAGATAGTTCAGTGAAATATAAGTTTTATAAAGTCTAAATTACACATATTACACAATCTAAAAGTTATACACCTTTGAGAATCTGGAATAATACATAACATCTAGAAAAATCAATCTATAACTACTATCACATACTGACTTTTGGGCCTCCCTATAAATTTAAAAAGAGACATGGTGCTAAGCACTCATTGCACCTCCTAAAAGACGACCCTAGAAATGTTCAATACGCATATTATTGCATATCATTTTTGGGCTACTCCTCCTATCAGGTTGACCTTTTAGGATGGAACCCAAGTCTTAACATGGTATCAGAGTCAAACCCGGTTGTGGTTTGACTGCTTTGTGTACACTCATGATTAAAGGTAGCTTGTCAACGGTCTATTTGGCCCATTTATACACCCCGATATTGTCCAACGCGGTTCGGGCTGCGAGACGTGTTAAAATATTTGTTCCACAACGAAAAATTTTAAAACAATAAAATATTATATAAGACTTTGGGCTACTTCTCCTATCATGTTGATCTTTTAAGTTTAAACTTACTGTTACTAGTATCATCATTTGCAGAAGATCTTTTACGGTGTATTTTGTTTGGATTTGAAAAGCAACTCCACGTCTTTGTGATGAAAAGTAACTTCACGTGACCGCGCCGTTGGCAGCCGCATCCAGGCCGTATGCCGTCGCGTCCCCACAAGGGACGACTCTAAAGAACGGGCCTGTTGGATTAGGCCAATGAGAGAGAATACCGAGGCAGAAGGCTCTTATTTAGATTCCAAGTTCCAACGAATAGTCAATCGATGTTTAAGACCAGGCAGTGGAGTTTTCGACATTTGCTATATCTGAATTGAATTGTGAAATCTTGAAATCCAAGAATGAATATGCAGGAGCTTCTTCAAGAACAATTCAGTTCAAGAAAGAGGGACCTTCCCTCTTCAAGAAAGCAATGGTGAACCCAAGATGCTTCCTAGACATAGGCATCGAAGGAGAGAGGAAAGGGAGCCTTGTTAAAAACCTCACTAGGAAAAACATGTGGGAAAATATCCTAATGAGGGAAAAAGAGTACACTGGATGCCCCCAAAATGAAGCAAAAGGGTGACTCCTTCGGTCCAGGTGTGGAGCTGCAACGGGCGTTATCTGCTGAGGGGATGGAACCCCTGGCACATTTTTCTGATATATAAAATGCTATTACAGAAGAAAGAGTATTATTAATGGCATCTTTTTAATGCCAAAGACTCAATCTTGTTTATGTTCCAGGTTAGAAACTTAGTTTCTATGGTTGTGTTTTACATAGCGTTGTATGTGTCAAATCGTGACGACATTGGTCACCCAATCTTCTTTCTTTGTAAGAGCTTTATTATT